CCTTGTAGTTGCAATTTTAAATTGGAATTTTGTGGGTAGATCTATTGAAAACTCTCGTCAACCAAAACTCTTCCATTATGGTGACTTAGAGGTTTAAAGACTTGTTATATATATTAAGTGCAATTGTGCTTCTTATAAAAGTGAGTTAGATTTTATTTTTGTCTTTTTATTTTGTTCAAAAACTAACAAAACTTAAATTTGGGAGAATTTGATGAGAAGTGTTTTATATGCTTTAATTTATTATATTAGCTTTAATTTTATCACTATTTGTAAAAATTAGTATATTATATTAGCCTTAATTTTTTTTATTATTTGTAAGGATAATATGTGATTTTAAATAGATTTTACATAATTTTTATTTTTTGTGCAAAAAAGACTTAAAAAGCATAATAATAGAAGTTTTTGACATTAATTAAATATTTCTTGATAGTTGAGGGACTAATGTGAGAAGAAAGGTTCTTTTTGGGACCTAAAAGAATGAATTTTAAATTATGAGATCAAAGTGCTCATTGTATAAAAAATAAAGGACCAATTGTGCTATACCATTGAAGAAATTACAAAAGAGGACGAAAACCCGACATGGATATGGTGTCGATACGTGTTTCCCGGTGTCAATACCATGCATTGAGCCTATGCTAATACAGGTGCGCGTGAAATAACTAGAAGTGTCAATACCTAGACGCTGGTGTTAACACCAAAAACACGTCCAGCTTTAGTAATTAGCTTTTTTTTTGTCTATGAGTCTTATTTCTTTTTTAATAATTTTTTTTAATCTTTATAAAGACCTGTTTAAAAAACCAGATTTAGAGCTTTTAAGGGAGACTAAAAGGAAAGACGGTTAAGAGGAACTAAATATAAAAAATAAAAAATCAATACTTAAAATTTTATTATCAAACTGATTTTATTTGTTTTTAAACTTAATTTTATGATATCAAATACTCTTACATATAATATGAGATCTTTGATTTTTTTAATTATAAACTAATTTATCCATCTAAGACTACAATGTAGCTTGGTTAATTTGATATAAAATTTCATGATTTTTATACTTTTAAAATTTATTATTTTCTGTAAAATATATATTATTATTCTTAATAATTTTTAAATGATTGGTCACTATTAAAATTGATTTAAAAAGCATAGTTAAGACTAAGAAAAAAATTTATATAATAACTTCTAGTAATATATACTATTAATTGAACAAAAACCAAAGATATGCCAATGTGATTTATGCATTATTAGTGATAAATAAATTTAATATTTTACGTAAATTAAGGAATTTTATAGAATATAATACATTTTTATCTATTTAACTTCACATAAACATATGGTAGGTTTAATAGATTACGATAAGTTTGATATAATTTGAAAAAATATATTGAATAGAATAAGAAAGTCTGATTATGATGAAATCAAATGCCTAAAAATTTCTACTTTTGATGTCTCTTAGAATCAATTTAGTTTTATTATTATTATTGTTATTATTATTGGGTTAGTTAATTAGTTCATTCAAATAATTTAATTTCAATTGTTCAAATAAAATTAAAATTAGTTAATTTTAGAACATAATTAGTTTACTGTCTATTTAAAATAATACTTAATTTTTATTATTATATTATTTGAATTAACTAATATTATTGTTAAAGTAAAATTAACTCATCAACACATCATCACCATATCTAAGTATGGATATAAGTTATTCACCATGGTTTGCATGCCGCACTTCTCGTTAGGCAAGCTCTTTCTTAAGGATTAATAACCATCAATTGTAGTCTCTTCTAGTGGGGAATGAGATTCACCAGTAAGCAATATTATAATAAATGTATCTAGTTAAGCATTCAAATTCAACTTAAGAAGTTCTCGAGAAGAGTTAGATAACCAGATATTTTATTTGATGAAAAGTTAACTAAATCATGTCTTAACGACCTGCCTCTATGCTAGAATACGAAATAGAAGGTTCTCTAGAGTTAGCTAATGGTGTAGGTACACGATACATAGGCACAGGCATTTTTGTAGGAAGATTTGGCATTGTTGTCTCAAACTTTAAAACCTGAATTGCTAGCCTAATTGATGGCCTTAAGCTGCTATCAGGGTGAGAGCACCACATTCCAACAATCATCAAACATTCTGCTTGTTTCTCATCAAAATCCTTCCTCACTCTCTCATCAACACTGGAATGAAGTCTTCCTTTCCCGTAAAGATCCCAAACCCATTCCACCAACCCCAAATCAGACTCTTCCCCCATTCGATCTGTAGACTTTCTTCCGGTAGCAATCTCTAATATCACCACCCCAAAACTAAACACATCTGACTCTTTACTTGCCTTCCTTGTACTTATGTACTCTGGAGCCAAGTAGCCAAAAGTACCTGCCAACCCTGTTGTAATTCAACCTAACTCATGGTCCATCAACTTAGCCAACCCAAAGTCACCAAGCTTAACATTAAAACTGGAATCCAACATTACATTACTTGACTTAATATCCCTATGAACCACACGTTGCTCCCACTCTTCGTGAAGATACAGAATTGCCGAGGCCAATCCAAGTGTTATTCTATACCTTATATGCCAAGGAAAAGGACTTTTTTTGCCAAAGAGATGAGAATCAAGACTACCATTTGACATGAACTCATAAACAAGCAAGAACTCACTCCTTTCATGACACCAACCAATAAGCTGCACCAAATTTCGATGCCTTAACTGACTAATGATCTTCACCTCTGTTACATACTCCTTTTTTCCTTGTTTTGATCCTTTAGAAATTTTCTTTACAGCAATCAACATGTCTACATCGGCTAGATAGCCTCTATAAACTGCACCGAAACCTCCTTCACCCAATTTCCTATCTTGAGAGAAATCGTTAGTAGCAGAGGCAAGATCTTGGTATGAAAACCTTCGCGGTCCGGTGCCCATCTCAAAATCGTCATTGATAGATGTTAAATTTGTTACCTCTGCCCTTTTATTTACCTTCTTTCTTTGCCTTATAATCACATATGCTAAAAGTGTTCCAATGAGAAGAACAATCACCAGTACTGCAATAGCAACAACTATTTTGATCTTTCTTGATGAATTCTCATCTGCTTCCTTAGCATCCAAACTTGAATTGAATTTCCAAGATTTGAGTGTGTGTTGTCCAGCTACACCTCCTGTAGAAGCTGAAAAGCCTATTGTCACCCAATTGTTTGAAACATTCCTTAAATCAACCAGGTAATAAAGGGTTGAATTCTCTTGAGGATTTTTGGTGTTTTGATAGCTCCATGAGACACTTAAATTCTTGGTTGTAGAATTATAAGTAATCAATACATCAGCAGTATCCCTAATGTGGAAACTTGCATTCCAGGGAGTGTAAACGACAGAGCGTATAGAATTGATATTAATACCCACATGAGTTTGGACCTCCATAGGATCCCATTCAGGGTTCGGGTAAGTGTCAAATTCCACTAAGATGATCCTATTTGAGGAGGAATCTCTTGTTGTGGTGTTGAATAGGCCAAGGTAGCCACCAGCAGAGTTGGGTGGGATTTGAAATCCAACAGGAGCAAGGAAGAACTCAATTCCATCGTTGGTCATATTTGGACTCAACGGATTAATGCTGAAGGAGAAATGACAAGTAAAGTCTGAAAGCTTTCCTGAGTTGGAGTCCCACATCAAGACTTCATTTGCATATGTGACCCAACCAACACGAAAAGGTTCAACCTTGCTTGTTAACTCCACTATTCCAGAGGAAGACTCTGCATCTCCTTGGTAGAGAATGTAATTGGGACTAGGGGTAAAGTTGGGTATTTGAAAACTTATTGGATATGAAGATGGAAGAAGAAGAAGAAGAAGAAGAATAAAGGAAACACATTTTGAACTTTCCATGGCTTGGTAGATGGTAGGAAGTCTATGAAAATTATCACATTTATGTTAATTTATATAACACTGGTTGGTCAAGTCATCCATACTTAATTGAAAATTGTAACCGTTGTATGTAATCCTTATTGACTAATAAATCAATCACAAAATTAGTGACGCGATTAATCAAACATTGACCAACAAATCAATCACAAAGCCGGTGGCATGATTAATCCAACATTGACTAATAAATCACTCACAAAGTCAGTGGCATGATTAGTCTAACATTGACCAACAAATCAATCACAAAATCAGTGGCGTGATTAATTCAACATTGACCAACAAATTGATAACAAGTGCTAACTATTAGTTACATAATGTTTCTAATAAACAAATCAACGAAAAAAGAGAAAGCTGGCTACAGCTCATCATAAAGTCTGCATTGACTAACCTCTACTGGTGCTTTTCCACCTCCACGAGCAAGAATTGTCTCTTGAAACTTCCAGCCGGTTTCTTTAACAGCCTGTTGAATACAAATATACACAGTTATTTATGGATTAAATATGGAAAAGATTAAGTTAAGGTGTGTGTAAGATGCTCACACACACTCAAAAATGCAAGACAAATTCAACATCATTAACACCAGCACCGAACAGCTCTTTCAACTACCATACCTTGCTATAATCTAATCCAGCAGCCTCAAATGCCAAGAAAGCATCTGCAGACAATACTTCAGCCCACTGCAAAATTAGCCATGCGGAGTTTTAGATTGCATTACAATAGGCAATGTAAAGGAAAATGTACAGAAATCATTGAATCACAAAAGTTTTCTAGGCCTTGGATCATAAATCACAATAAACTATACCTTGTAACTGTAGTAACCAGCCACGTATCCACCCGAGATTCACCAGTGAAAATTAACGCAAATATGGGCAACAATTGAACCAAAGAAACAAAATACGTATGATTAATCCAACATTAACCAATAAATCAATCACAAAATTAGTGGCACAATTAATCCAACATTGACCAACAAATCAATCACAAAGTCGGTGGCATGATTAATCCAACATTGACCAATAAATCAATCATAAAGTCAGTGGCATAATTAGTCTAACATTGACCAACAAATCAATCACAAAATTAGTGACGTGATTAATCCAACATTGACCAACAAATCAATAACAAGTGATAACTATTACTTGTTTCTAAATAATTAAACTAAAACAAAACATAAATTAAGAATCTTATAAATTAAATATTTTTAGTCTAGACTTGTAGAATGAATGTATGTGGGTTAAAATATCAATAACACCATAAATAAATTAATTTAGGCAATATTTGGTATTATTGTATACGATAGTTTTTTAAACAACATATTTTT